ATTTTTATGAGGCCAGAATTACTCTGATACCAAAGCCAGACAAGCACATTGCTAAAATAAAAAATACAAAATAAAATAAAAAAGATAGCTGGCTAATATCCTTGATAAACACAGAGGCAATAGCTCTAAACAAAATACTAGCAAACCAAATTCAACAACACATTAAAACAATCATCATCATGATTATGTGGGATTTATCCCTGGCATGCAAGGAGGGTTCAAGATATGCTAATCAATAAATTTGATACATCACATTAACAGAATGAAGAGCAAAACCATATGATCATCTCATTACACACAAAAAAGCATTTGACAAAACTCAGCATCTTTTCATAATAAAAAATGTCACCAAATTAGGTATTGAAGGAATGTGCCTCAACACAATAAAGATGATATATGAGAAGCCTACAGCTAACATTATACTCAATGGAGAAAAATTGAAAGTCTCTCCCTCAAGATCTGGAACAAGACAAGAATGCTCATTCTCACCACTTCTGTTTAACATAGTATTGGAAGTCCTTGCTAGAGCAATTAGGCAAGAGAAAGAAAGAAAAAACATCCAAATAGGAAAGAAAGAAGTAAAATTGTCATTGTTTTTTGGCAACATGATCTTCAACAAACTATCTGAAAAAGAAATGAACAGAACAATTTTTCAATAGCTACAAAAAATAAAATGAAATATTTGGGACTAAATTTAATCAAGAAAGTGAAAAACCTGTACATTAAAAATTATAAAATGCTGATGAAAAAAATTGAAGACAAATAAATGAAAAGATATCCCATATTCATGGATTAGAATATTTTAAAAATGTCCATAGTACCCAAAGCAATCTGCAGATTCAATGCAATCCCTATCAAACTTCCAATGTTGTTTTTCACAGAAGCATAAAAAACAATTCTCAAATACAAATGGAAACACAAAAAACCTTGAATAACTGGGGCAATTATGAGCAGAAAGAACAAAGCTGGAGGCATCACATTACCTGATTTCAAACCAGTATTTCAAACTGTACGAAAAAGTGATAGTAGAGTCTGAGAAAGGTGGCAGATAGGAAACAGGGCTAACGTGAAGCTACCACTTAAGTGGACAGAACAGTGTTTGGCAACTCACACTGTGAACTTTCGCTCCAAGAACCACCACCAAAATGTACTAGGAAAACCAAAAGAAATCACAGATCCTTTGAAAGAAGTGGCACACCATGACAGGCGAAAAGCTGAGTTTCCAAAGCAAGAGGAGAAAATCTGCCTTTGGATACACATCCCCCACTGGGGTATCTGAAAATCCAAATCATGGGAAAAGGATTTAACCTTACCTAGAGATGATTTAGGGAGCCACATGAAATATAAAAGTAGAAGCAGCAGTGGGAAGAGCCTTGTAGGCGGTCCCAATCTCCAGTCAGAGCCCAGGGAAGCCATACCTGAGTATATCTCACAGGGACCCTCAGGGAAGGCAGCCAGCGGAATTAGGCACAGGTCACAGGTTGCAAGAAGCTTCCAACTGAAATTTGTACTAATTTTGACTGGGCATGAATTTTCTCGAGCAGAATTCAAGGAGTGAATGGAAACTGCTGCAGATGCAAGTGAAGGAGCTGCTTCTGACACTGGGGCAGATGGGGAGGGGCAAGTCCTGAAAGCTGTACTTCCTTTCTCAGCAGAGAAGTTTATAGCATGGGGCAAGGTCTGACAGTGGTAATGTGGGAGCAAGACTGGCCTAGCCAACTGCTTGGGAGTTGAGTGAGGCCTTTTGCTACCCACTGTCGCCACTTTCCCGATGAACTAGCACACCAAAGGCAGCCATAATACCCTGTGGAACATAACCCCATTGGCCTGAGAACCACTCCCCACACCGCACAGTGGCTCCTCTCAAGGACAGTTTGAGCTCAGACCCACCTAACCTTGCCCTGACCTGACGGTATTTCTCTACCTGCCCTGGTAGCCAAACACAAAAGTATAAAGTCTTAGGAGTTTTATGGTCCTGCATATTACCTGAGAAGCCAGAATACTTACCTGGCCAACTTAAGGCAAGATTATATCTCCCTACTACTGCTGCAGCCAGTGCTCTCTAGAAAATGCCACCTACTGGCTGGAGGCCAACCAAATCAAGCCATTAAAGCAACTCATGACAGAATAACCCTGCTCCCAGGAAAAAGAAAACAGCTAATTACTCTGCCTGCAACATCTGGCAAACCAGGTGTCCTGAGACACCATGTGTCTGTCCATGTGACAACTTCACTGCTAGCATAATCAGCATTTGAGAAAGCCAGCACACTAAACATATCTACAACCAAAGACTCACTGAGTCTACTTCACTCCCCTGCCACCTCCACCAGAGCAAGAGCTGGTATCCACAGCTAAAAGACCCAAAGAGAGATCACATCACAGGACTCTTTGAAGACATTCCCCGGCACCACCTGGAGCCTGGTAGCCCTACTGGGTGGCTAGACCCAGAAAAGCAATAACAATCACTGTAGGCAGGCTCTCAGGAAGCCCCAATCCCTAGGGGAAGGGGGAAAGCATCACATTTAGGGATAAGCTTATGGGACAAAATAATCTGAAGCAGGCCTTGAGTTCCAGAGCTTTCCACTCAAATAGTCTAACCAAATGAGAAGGAACCAGAAAAATAATTCTGGTAATATGACAAAATAGAGTCCTATAAAACTCCCAAAAGATCACACTAGCTCCTCTGCAATGGATCCAAGCCAGGAAGAAATCTCAGAATTGCCAGATAAAGAATTCAGAAGGTTGATTATTAAGCTACTCAGGATGATACCAGAGAAAAGTGAAAACTAAAATAAATTTTAAAAACAGTACAGGATATGGAAGAAAAAGTCTCCAGAGACATAAATATCATAAAGAAAATACAATCACAGCTTCTGGAAATGAAAGCCACACTTAGAGAAATACAAAATACACTGGAAAGTTTCAATAATGGACTAGAACAAGTAGAAGAAAGAATTTCCGAGCTCAAAGACAAAGCTTTCAAATTAACCAAATCAGACAAAGACAAAGAAAAAGGAATTTTAAAAAATGAACCAGCCTCCAAGATATTTGAGATTATGTTAAATGACCAAACCTAAGAATAACTGGTGTTCCTGAGGAAGAAGAGAAATCTAAAGTTTGGAAAATTTATTTGAGGCAATAATTGTGGAAAACTTCCTTGAACCTGCTAGAGATCTAGACATCCAAAGAAGTTCAAAGAACACCTGGGAAGTTCACTGCAAAAGATCATCACTTAGGCACATAGTCATTAGGTTATCTAAAGCCAAGATGAAGGCAAAAAATCTTAAGAGCTGTGAGACAAACATATTATGTAATCTATAAAGTTAAAGGAAAACCTATCAGATTAATAGCAGGTTTCTCAGCAGAAACCCTACAAGCTAGAAGTGATTGGGGTTCTATCTTTATCCCCGAAACAGAATAATTGTCAGTCAAGAGCTTTGTATCCAACAAAACTAAGTTTCATAGGTCAAGAAAAGATAGTCTTTTTTAGACAAACAAATGCTGAGAGGGATTCGCCTCTACCAAGCAAGCTCTACAAGAATTGCTAAAAGGAGTTCTAAATCTTCAAATATACCAAAATAGAACCTCATTAAAGCATAAATCTCACAGGATCTATAAAACAGTAATACAATGAAAGAAAACCAAGATATTTAGGCAACAAATAGAACAGTACCTCACATCTCAATATTAACACCAAATGTAAATGGCCTAAATGCTCCAGGTAAAAGATACAGAATGATGGAATGGATAAAAATCCACCAACCAAGTATCTGCTGTCATAAGGACTCAAATAAACTTAAGTAAAGGGGTGGAAAAGGATATTTCATGCAAATGGGAACCAAAAACAAGCAGGAGTAGCTATTCTTATATCAAACAAAACAGACTTTAAAGGAACAACAGTTTAAAAAGACAAAGAGGGACATTATATAATGATAAAACGGTTAATCCAACAGAAAAATATCACACTCCTAAATATATACGTACCTAATACTGGAGCTCCCAAATGCATAAAACAATTACTACTAAACCTAAGAAATGAGATAGATGGCAACACAATAAGGGTGGGGGACTTCAGTACTCCAGTGACAGCACTAGACAGGTCATCAAGATAGAAGTCAACAAAAAAACAATGAACGTAAAGTATATCGCAGAATAGACTTAACAAATATTTATAGAACATTCTACCCAACAACTGCCAAACAGACATACATTCATCAGCACATGTTCTTTTCATCTGCACATGGAACATTCTCCCAGATAGACCAAAGAATAGGCCACAAAACAAGTATCAGTAAATTGAAAATCAAAATTATATCTCAGACTACAGTGGAATAAAAGTGAAAATTAACTCCAAAAAGAGCACTCAAAATGATGCAAATACATGGAAATTAAATAATCTACTCTTGAATGATCTTTGGGTCAACAATGAAATCAAGATGGAAATTAAAAAATTATTTGAATTGAAAAATAATAGTGCTACAACTTATCAAAACCTCTAAGAAAGTTCATAGCCTTAAATGCCTACATTGAAAAGTCTGAAAGAGCACAAATAGACAGTCTAAGGTCACACCTCAGAAACTAGAGAAACAAGAACAAACCACACCCAAGCCTAGCAGAAGAAAAGAAATACCAAAGATTGGAGCAGAAGTAAATGAAATTGAAACAAACAAACAAAAAATACAAAACATAAATGAAACGAAAGCTGTTTTTTTTAAAAGATAAACATCGCTAGACCATTAGTGAGATTAATCAAAGAAAGAAGATCCAAATAAGCTCAATTAGAAATGAAGCATGAGACATTACAACCAATACCACAGAAATACAAAAGGTCATTCAAGGCTACTATTAACACCTTTATGCACACAAACTAGGAAATCTAGAGGAGATGGATAAGTTTCTGGAAATGTACAACCTTCCTTGATTAAATCAGGAAGAAATAGAAACTCTGAACAGACCAATAACAAGTAGTGAAGTTGAAACAGTAGTAAAAAATAATTGCCATATTTATCTGGTTTTCCCAGGGCAAGGCTTATCCATTGCACTCCAGATGCAATGATAAAATATAATGATAAAAATCACCCCTGTGATTTCCCCAAATGTGGGAAGCTCAACTGCATAATTTGTGGTAGTGGGGGACTGCATTCGTGCTTTCCCCTGGCATTTAAAAAAAAATTGCCAACAAAACAAAGTCAAGGAACAGAAGGATTCACAACTGAATTCTATCAGACATTCCAAGAATTGGTACTAATCTTACTGAAACTATTCTAAAAGAGAGTGAGAGAATTCTATCTAAATCACTCTATAAAGCCAGTATCACCCTAATACCAAAACCAGTAAAGAACATAATCAAAAAAGAAAACTGCAGAACAGTATCTCTGATGAACATAGAGAAATCCTCAACAAAATACTAGCTAACTGAATCCAACAGCATATCAAAAACATAACACATCATGGTCAAGTGGGTTTCACACCAGGGATGCAGGAATGGTTTAACATATACAAATCAATAACTGTAATACATCACATAAACAATTAAACACAAAAATCATATAATCATCTCAATAGATGCAGAAAAGCATCTGACAAAATCCAGGGTTTTCTGATTAAAACCCTCAGCAAGACTGACATAGAAGGGATGCACCTCAAGGTAATAATGAGAATCTATGACAAACCTACAGCCAACATTATACTGAATGGGGAAAAGTTGAAAGCATTTCCCCTGAGAACTAGAACAAAGTAAGGATATCCACCTTCACCACTAATATTCAACATAGTACTGGAAGTCTAGCCAGAGCAATCTGACAAGAGAAATAAATAAAAGGCATCCAAGGCAGTAAAGAGGAATTCAAACTGTTGCTGTTTGCTGATATGATCATATCCCTAGAAAACCTTAAAGGCTCATCCAAAAAGCTCCTAGATCTGATAATGAATTCAGTAAAATCTCAGGATACAAAATCAATTGCACAAACCAGTAGTACTGCTATACACCAACAGTGGCCAAGCTGAGAATCATATTAAGAACTGAATCCATTTTACAACGGCTGCAAAACAAACAATCAAACCCCCCAGACTTAGGAATACACCTAACCAAGGAGGTAAAAGATTGCTACAAGGAAAACTACAAAACACTGCTGAAAGGAATCATGGATGACACAAACAGAAACACATTTTATGCTCATGGATGGGTAGAATCAATATTGGGAAAATGACCATACTGCCAAAAGCAATCTACAGATTCAATGCAATTCCCATCAAAATACCATCATCATTCTTCACAGAACTAGAAAAAACAATCCTAAAATTCATATGGATCCATAAAAAGAGCTCACATAGCCAAAGCAAGACTAAGTAAAAATAACAAATCTGGAGGTATCACATTACCTGATTTCAAACTATATTACAAGGCTACAGTTACCAAAACAGCAAGGTAGCAGTATTATAATAGGCACACAGACCAGTGGAACAGAATAGAGAACCCAGAAATAAAGCCAGATACTTACAGCCAACTGATCTTAAAGCAAATAAAAACATTAAGTGGGGAAAGGACACCTATTCAACAAATGGTGCTGGGATGATTGGCAAGCCACATGTATAAGAATGAAACTGGATCCCCATCTCTCACCTTATACAAAAATCAACTCAAGAGGGATCAAAGACTTAAATCTAAGACCTGACACCATACACATTCTAGAGGATAACATCAGAAAATCTCTTCTAGACATTGGCTTAGCAAAGAGTTCATGACTAAGAACCCAGAAGCAAATGCAACAAAGCAAAAATTAGATGGGACCTAATTAAAGTAAAAAGCTTCTGCACAACAACAACAAATAATAATAATCAGCAGAGTAAACAGACAACCCACAGAGTGGGAGAAAATATTCACAAACTATGGTTCCAACAAAGGACTAATAACCAGATCTACAAGGAATTCAAACAAATCAGCAGGAAAAAGATAATCCTATCAAAAAGTGGGCAAAGGATGTGAATATAAAATTCTCAGATTTTAATTTTTTTCATGTTTATTAGCTATTCATCTATCTTCTTCTCAAGAAAAGTATATGAATAGTGAATAAACATGAAAACATCCTGACATCACTGATTATCAGGGAAATGCAAATTAAAACCACGATGAGATACTATCTTACTCCTGCAAGAATGGCCATAATTGAAAATTAAAGAAAATAAATGTTGGCATGGATATTGTGAAAAGGGAACTTTTACACTGCTGGTGGGAATGTAAACTAGTATAACCACTATGGAAAACAGTATGGAAGTTCCGTAAAAAACTAAAAGTACAACTACCATTTGCTCTAGCAATCCTACTACTGGGTATCTACCCAGAGGAAAAGAAATCATTATATGAAAAAGACACTTGCACATGCATGTTTATAGCAGCATAATTTGCAATTGCAAAAACACAGAACCAGCCTAAATACTCATCAACCAACACATAGATAAGAAAAATATATTTATATGTTGGAATACTACTCTGCCATGAAAATGAATAAAATAATGGCATTTGCAGCAACCTGGATGGAGCTGGAGACCGTTTTTCTAAGTGAAGTAACTCAGGAATGGAAAACCAAATATTGTATGTTCTCACTTATAAGTGGGAGATAAACTATGAGGATGCACAGGCATATGACATAATGGACTTTGGGGATTTTGGGGGAAGGATGGGAGGGGGGTGAGGGATAAAAGACTACACACTGGGCACACTGCACACTACTCATGTGGGAAGTGCACCAAAATTTCAGAAATCACCACTAAAGAACTTATCTGGTTGGGTGCAGTGGCTCATGCCTGTAATCCCAGCACTTTGGGAGGCTGAGGCAGGCGGATCACAGGTCAGGAGTTCGAGACCAGCCTGGCCAACATGGTGAAACCCCATCTCTACTAAAAATACAAAAAATTAGCTGGGCATGATGGCAGGCACCTGCAATCCCAGCTACTCAGGAGGCTGAGACAGGAGAATCACTTGTACCAGGAGGTGGAAGTTGCAGTGAGCCAAGACTATGCCACTGCACTCTAGCCTGGGCAACAGAGCAAGACTCCGCTTCAACACACACACACACACACACACACACAAACACACACACACACACACAAACACACACAAACTTATCCATGTAACCCAAAACTATTGAAAAAAAAAGTGCTAGTAAACACATTAGTAATCCCAGCACTTTGAGAGACTGAGGCAGGAGCATTACTCAAGAGCAGCAGTTTGGTACCAGCTTGGGCAATACGGTGAGACCCCTGGCTTCCTGTGTATATATTAAAAAAAAAAAGTTAGCATCGTACTTGCAAAAAAAAAAAAAAAAATACATACGAAACAGAGTAGAGAGCCCATAAATGAACCCAGGTATGCTCATGGTCAATTGCTTTTCCACAAAGGTGCTAAGAATATACAATGGGAAAAGAATATTCCTTTCAATAAAAGGTGCTAGGAAAACTAGATACCCACATGCAGAATGAAATTGGACCTGTGTCTTACACTATATGCAAAAATCAACTCAAAATAGATTAAGGACTTAAATGTAACTACTAAAAGACATATAATGGAAAAACTGCCATTTGAAACCACAATGTGATGTCATCTCACACCTGTCACAATGGCTATAATGACAAAGACAAAAGATAACAAATGTTGGCAAGGATATGGAGAAAGGGAAACCCTTATACACTGTTAAGAATGTAAATTAATCCAGCCGTTAAGGGAAACTGTATTGAGGTTCTCCAAAAAGCTAAAATAGAATTACCATATGATCCAGCAATCCACATCTGGGATTCGACCCCAAGATTTGAAATCAGTGTTTTGAAGAGATGTTTGTAGCCCTGTGTTCACTCTAGCACTATGTTCACAATAGCCAAGTTATGGAATCAACCTAAGGTCTATCAGCATATGAATGGCTAAAGAAAATGTGGAAATGCAGTATATACACATATAGAATACTACTCAGCTTTTAAAAAGGACATTCTGTCTTTTGTGACAACATGGATGAAACTGGAGAACATTATGCTAAGTAAACCAGGCACGAAAAGACAAATATGGCACACATACTAACTCATATGTGGAATCTAAAACAAACTCACAGAGTGTAGATGATGGGTACAAAGGCTGGGGGCTGAGGGGCATGGGGAGATGATGGTCGGAGGGGACAACATATGACAAGGGATTTCTTCTTAGTTCCATGGCACAGCAATTGTATTCACTACATTCTATATGGTGAATATAGTTAATAGTATTATACATTTCAAAACTAAGTAAATTTAAATGTTCTCATCACAAAAAATGTTAAGTATTTAAGGTGATGGATGTTAACTAGCTTAATTATTCCATATTATACTTCTAACACCACTTTGTACTCCCACATACAATTATAAATTGTCAATTTAAAGTAGAAAAAAAACGCAGAAAAGAGGCCTTTTGTGGTGGGAAAGACTAAATCCCAGAATGGCAAAGCAACTAATTCATGGTCCCCAGGGTTTAAGACAGAGCCACGGGCCTTGTCCAGGTACAGATCCCTACAGGATTCCCATCAGGCTTCAAGGCTCAACTTGAGTCCAGATGACAGTGACAAGTTCTGCAGGATCTGGAAGCCAGTACACTTTCCTCAGCACATTTGCAAGCAGGGTGTAGAGCTCATAATTTACAACCATACCTGTGTGTATACATGCTTGTGTGTATATATGAGCCCCTGATAACTACGTATCAAGGGCTTTTTTCTTTGCCTAAACACAGTGTATGCTTTAGAACACAAAGTGCTAGTAAGTAATTTGATGAACACAAGATTCTACAGGCAAATAAGGTGGGAAACACTGCATATTATAGCCTCACTGCCAACATTCTTGGTGCACCAGGAAACACATTCGCATATTAAGAAATGAATGATTCCATAATAAAGAGATACCTTTAGGTTAGTTTAATCCAGTGATTACTGGATTAATCTGGTTATGATCACATATCTTCCCAGCAGTACTCGCCATTATTCTGTGGAACAAATCTGTTTATTTGCAGATGTACACACTTTTGAAAAGGGTTATTCTGAATGTCTAAAAAGTGTTTTAAACATGGTACATTTTAATGAGGTTATATACCAAAATAGCATAAACACCAACAATGATAGAAACATCCAGGATGCAACTTGTGAAAG